AGCAGACAGCGCACGTTTGGAAATGGCAGAACCTCTCAGCAGGGGTGTGGTCTCTTATTTCATGCAAAGCATGTGCACCACAGTACTGATCACACTGCCTTTTACAGACAAACAAAGGGGCTCGAGTTGAGGCACTGAAACATGGGAGAGAGAAACGAGCAGATTCTGCACAGCCAGTTTAAAGGGAGATACGTTCGATTTCTGAGATGGTCAAGGCTGAATCATGTTTCATTTCATCGCAGTGCTCCTCCCCCCAGCAGCACCAGGTGAAGACAATGGAAAGGGTTTCTGACCTAACCTTTGCATGTGTTTTTTAAATGATTAACTTTTCTGCTGCTGTGGTGCCAAGAAGGCAGAGTTAAGAGTTAACCTACCTGATCACCTTGAGAGCTTTTCACAATCTTTTTCTCTCTCTCATGGAATGCTTGCTTACTTTCACGCTTGTGATCTGCGTCGTGCATATGACATAACAAGTTAGTGCAGATATCTTTGAAACCCCCAGTTCTCTTAAACGAAAGTGAAAATGAAAGCGACACGTGTATTAATCTCACTATACTGTACCTGAGACAGTCTGCGGCTGTGACCTACACCTTAAAGGTAAGATACCTGTAGAAATTCAAGCTGTGCAGTGGCGTAGTCATTGAATTATGATCCTTCTAGACGTTGTTGGTGATTTCTTAGGGTTTGCTGGTGAAAAGGGAAGATAAATTTCAAACGTTCACTATATAGTAGCACTGTGTTGTTTTGTTTGCTCACTTCATGGTGGCTGTAAGGAAATCAAAGCAAACTAAAATGGTGGAAGCAATTCTTCATGTGTATATTACATAACTCTGGGTTAAAACAATGAAGCCTCTTTAGCAAACGTTACACTGTACCTTGCTGCTGACCAGGCTGTCTGTCTTTTTTTAATCATTTAAAAATAGATAAATATAGAACTGCACATCATGAATATGCAAATTATTTTACAAATCTAGTTAGACTTGCTAGAGGGTTAAAAAGCATGTGTTGATCGCTTTTTGTTAGTTCGTATGTTATTCCTTCAGCTTGCTGTTGTTGTGCATGAGTCATCTAATACTGAATTAAGAAGGAATTACCCTTTAGATACCCAACTTCTAGTTAATTATTCTTCGAGTCTCTCTTGGGGCGGAGCGGTGGCTAAGGATCTGTGCCTGTGCCTGTGCCTGTAACTGGAAGGTTGCTGGTTCAAATCCTGCAGCCAGCAGAGGAATCCTACTCTGTTGGGCCCCTGAGCAAGGTCCTTAACCCCAACTGCTCCAGGGGTGCCGTACAATGGCTGACCCTTGTCACGATTCTAGTCCCTCCTCCTTAAGGGCGCTCCAGCTCTTCCTTGTTTGCCCTATTCCCTGCACCTGCCCTTTGTTCCAGTCTCCATCCTGTCCCTTTAAAAGCCAGACGCAGTCGCCAATCGGGGCTCTGCATCTGATTTCCACATCGTGCGAGCCCGGGACCTGGTTGCGCCTGGCTCCGTTATGTTTTTAGCTTCCTGCTCCTTTTCCCGTTCCCCCCGCCGGTCCCGACCCGGCACCTGTTTTTAATCCCTGGTTTTTGGATGGATTTCACGGCCGTGGACCTTTGCTTGTTTTTTGGATTCTCCCTTGGACTTTGGATTGTTTGCCTCGGCCACACCTCCCCGGATTACCAGCACTGTATGGACACGCCCCCCTGTTTTGATCCCCGTATTCCTGCATGACGTTTTCCCCAGTGTTTCCTCACGATTCTGGATTGTGTCGTCCGCATAGGGTCTGGAAAGAACTGTTCGTTACACCCTGTGCTCTGACCCCAAGCTTCTCTCCACTGTCTGTGTGTCTCATGGAGAGCAAGCTGGGGTCTGCGAAAAGACAAATTCCTAATGCAAGAAATTGTATAGGGCTAATAAAGTTATGCTATGACTAAAATTGTCTGCAGCATAGCACACTGAGGTCAGCACTACATGGTCAGACGTCAGTCTCACAGTTGTATGGTCCCGGAGCTGATTCTGGACTAGGGAACCTTCTGAGGTGAGTTTGCACGTTCTTCCCATGTTCAGTTGGGCTTTCTCTGGATACTCCAGCTTTCCCCATCTCCCAGAGCCATGCTGATGGGTTGGGTGGCTATGAGGAGGGGGACTGTGGCCCTTTCTCACTGACTAGCCTTGTGTGGTGTAGTCCTGTGGCTGACTGAGTCATCCGTCCAAGACTTGATTCATCATCAGAATGTAAGCTGGCGAGTTGTTTCCATGTCTTCTAATGCGTCTCTGTTCTCTTTCTGTTGGACACAGAAAAGAGAGGTATTGTCAGGCTCTGCTGTGCGTTGTGTTTGTAGTATATTTCCCTGTTTACTGCGTGATGAATTTGATTGCGCAGCTGTCCAGGTGACGGCAGGTGAGCTTTTAACCCTCTGAACCCTTTAACCAGGTACTGTAATTCAAGTGAGAATGAATTCTCATTTACAATTAGAGCCTGGAGACCAACCTTCACACCAGGAAGCTTGCACTATGCATTAAGAAGTACTTGTCCCCTTGTTCAAGGATACAACAACAGTGTCTCACCAGGAATTTAAGTCCACAACCTTTTGAGCTGAAGTCCAGAGCCCTAAGAGCTCTGTCTTTCCCAAGGAAGCTGGGTTTCAGAGGGTGTACCATGCCTCAGCTTCTCATCTGCTGAATCATTTCCAGGAAACATCTGGAGGGGTAATGTTAGTGAAACCACGTGGCACAGAATGGCAACTCGCAGTTTGTATCTATAGCTGCTTCGATGGAGTGTCTGGATTCTCTCATGGAACGCTGAGTAATAACTCCTGTTTTGGGGTTAATGATTGTGAGTGGTTGTGAAATTGCCACGAAATTTGAATTGAACATAACAGGTGCCAAACGCCATCCGACATTTTCGGCTCATCCCCATTCCTCTGCCCTTAACCGTGGGGAAGTTCAGTCATCCTGCCGGGGGGGGCACTTCAGTGTCTTATCAGAAAGAAACAGAGGAGGCATGAGTTCACACTAACACACCACGCTGCACGTTCACAACAGCAGGAACTGGCGATGCCGAGACGCGGTACAGCTGGCGTGGATGAGGCTACCGAGGAAGAGGTTTTGAGAGGCTGAGCGAGATGGGGGCAGTACTGGTGTCTGTGTTCCTTCTCTCCCCCTCTGTCAGGGATCCGGCAGGTGGTTTTCCGGGGATCCTGTGCGTAGCCGTGAATTCTGTGGGACGCAGAGGCAAACAATCCAAAGTCGTAACCCAGAAGCAAGGTCAAGAGGAGAAACCAGAGATTAGTAAACCAGAAGAGGCCGAGACAAACCGAGAAGACAATCCAAAAGGCGAAATCCAAGAGCCGAGATCAAAAGGGAAAAGTTAAGTCCAAAACCCGGGAAATCCAACAAGAAAATACCGCGCACTAGAAAACTCTAAAGGAGGCTTTTCAACAGTGAGCAAGGTTTGGTGCACGAGGGAATTCTAAATAGTGAAGGGAGAGGAACGTGGTTGGATAAGTGGTCCAGGAGTGAGAATCTGTGGAATCTGGTGCCTGTGGGAATGGGATGGGTTCAGTCAGGAATGGGATCGTGAAACAGTGGGTTTGGGAATGTAATGGGGTTCGCGAGGGCGAGTGCAGGGCGTGACCCTCCCTTCTGAATGCCTGTGTGCTGGGACTGCTCCCTGCTCTCCGTGGGGCCCCTGGCCAGGACTGCTCTGAACTCTCCTGCCAGTGCGCCGTGTTGACCTTCGTTTTGTAGACATTGGCTCTGGCCTTAATGAAATCTCCTTTGAACGCTGTTGTCCGTTGAGGAGTTGATTAACTCTGTTGGAACAGTTTGTTAATCTGTTTGGTGTCTATAATAGTGATAGTGAATAATAGGAATGATCAGAACTGCCATTGTTACGGTAATTCAAATGAAGTGAAAAGAAGGTGCTATTAAACCCCCTTTTGTCTGAATGACCTTGTGTTTCAAAGACAGTGTTGTCTCTTTTCATTCAATAATGAGTTAATGAAATGAAACACGCCTAGATTTTCAATAACAAAGAAGTGAGTAACACAATAATATCAAAAGGCTCGTTTCCCGAGGGTTAATAATGAAGTGAAACTGACAGATCAGAAGACATGGAAATTTTCTTAAAAACTAAATAAATTTGAAACAAAGTCTGAAATGATTGTAATACATTCGTATTTAAGTTTTAATTCTAACAGTGATAACGATCATAGCAGTTTTGGGTAACAAATAGCCTTAGCCTGCACATACTGTACAAACATGCATGTACTGCATACATCTCAAATTTATTACAGGAGAACGTATGAACGAGTGAAAATAAAAAGCGATCAAGCTAATTTCAATATTGATAAGCTGCCTTAATATGCTACATGTGCATAGTTAGTTTCAGCTTGCACTCGGATCCAGTATTAAGGACAGTACAGTAAATAGTCCCTGAGCAAGTGTAGCAGGTGGTGGAGATTTATTCTGCGCTGATGTGTCTGAGCCATTCAAATAAATAGATTTCTCTTATACTGTTTATATTTGGACTGTTGCATGTCTTCAAGGTAACTGAGTTTAACGTCTATTTTTTCCCTGCAAAAATGAATACCCAGAGTCCCCCATTTTTTTGGGGAAGCCCGAAGTCTTCAATAATTAATTATTAAAGGAAGTGGTGTGTTTGATAGGGAACAGACTGTATTTTCCATTTGCTAGCAGGTGCGGTGCATCAGTCCGGGCTGCACTGGTTTGCTCGCCTTTGGAAATGGCGTGACAGCGCTAGAAAGCGACTCTGAAAACGTGTCATATTGAAAGTTAGCAAGGAACCCAGGCCTGTTTTTCTTTCAACATGGAACAATAACAGGGACTTCTGAACTGGTGAATGGGAATTTCTCGATTTGCTCCGTTGAACACGTTCAAAATCGTACCCCAGAAGGCTGTATTTATATGTAGAATCACCGGCTATGAAGATTATCATGAACATTGAAGTGCTGGTAATTGTAAGATCTGTAGGCTGCTTTTATGTCATTTTAAATCTTTGGTTACAGTTGCTCAATCAAAAGTTAGCCTTGCCGGTAATGACATCTTTCTAAAATCCTGAATGCAAAAATAGTTAGATGGATAGCAATAGGGATGTTTGGCTCTCCAGCAAAGGTAATTAACCTTTCCATCCTTTTTTAAGATACTGTCATGTCTCTTCTGAGATCCTGCCTGCTTTCTTCTGTACGTTATCTTTTACATTGATGTCCTATTACTTTCATTTTCTAAAGTGCTCGTCTCCTCTGCAGACCTTCAAAGGCTGAGAACTGTAGAGTATATTAGTGTCTAAACACAGACACACCCTGCTGGAGGTCATAAACAGAAATGCCATGTTTTCAGTAAACGGGAACACGATTTCTTTCCATCTGCTGACACACGTAAGACTTGGAGAGCCACAGGACGGGTTTTTCCTCATTTGCCTGTCCCTGCCAGCTTTGCTGATCTTTCACGTTCTGAGAGCTTCTCCCTCCGGTCGCTCTTTTCTCCTTCACCACCCCGTCTCCCTGCCCACAGGAAGAGCCGCTGGCAGCTGAATGGCCGAAGGCGAACAGGGGCAGGTGGAGGTGACTGAGGAGCCGGGGTCAGAGGTCAGAGAGCCCCCCGACCCGGGCAAGGGGGCAAGTGGCGTCTCGCACACTGACGGGCTGGAGACGAAGGACAAGAAACAGAGGCCCCTGGGGAGGATCGGGACCCTCAGGGAAAGCTTCAAGGCGGTCTTGCCCAGTGCCCTGATTCAATACAGGAAAAAGCTGCAGGATGGAGGAGATGTGGAACTGAGAAAGTTCAGCAGAGCAGAGACAGGAAATGGACATGGAAACGAGCTGCTATCCCCCTCCTCTCCAGGTAGGTGTCCTTCCCAAAATGTTCCAGCTGGAAACAAGCAGAGAGGTTTTTACTGAGCTCTGGGCTGACAGAGACACTGAGACGCTGGCACCCAGCTCACAGCGCTCCAGAGACGACTCCCCTGGAGTGCAGCCATTAAGAGTTTTAACCTGAGTGCTTTTACTCTGCTCCAGCTAAAAGGTGTGTTCGCTTTCAAGTAATGACCTATATGATGCTTGCCCAACAGGTCATGCCAGTTCATTTCTAATGAGATTGATTAAAAATCCAGATTTAAGAAGTGCTTTTGTTAGTTGTTGACTGGCAAAAAGCTATTGTCTTGTTTAATGTACTGTTTTCATATTTGTAGGTTCTAATAAAGCATACTTCCCAAGAAGTGTGCAAACAGAACCTCAGTGCTCAACACAAAGACACTGGTTCTAGCAGGCACGTGTGTGAGCTGCGATTTGTGTGAGAGGGACAGTGGTTGAAAGTGCTGATGGGATTGTGGAGGTGTTGAACTGGTCTTGTTCCCTAGGTCAGAGTTCAGAAGGCAGGAGCCCGAAGGCCACCACTCCCTTCAAAAGGTCCAGCAAGGGCTGGTCCAGTCTGAGGGTGACCTCCAAGAGCGAAAGATACAGTCGATCAAGCTCTGAGGAAAATGTCTACTCTGAGCCACAGCTCAGATCAGGTTGGGAATCTTAGGGACTGTCTGCAAATGACACCTTGCTACTTACTGTAGGAGGATGGAGGCCTAAAATACTTAGGGACTGTGTGAAAAAGATACATCACAACTTAGAAGGACTGAGACCTCAAATACTTTTAAACATCACTTTCCATTGATTGTTCATTGACCTTCAGCACAGTATGAAGTGTAGCCATTAGTTGTGTCCTGGCCAAATTTCCCCCTGACCTTTATCAGTCATGGCCTCTTAATAATCCCCATCTCTGAACTGGCTTCATCACTCTGCTCTCCTCCCCACTGAGAGCTGGTGTGTGGTGAGCAGTCTGTTGCACTATGGCTGTTGTCGCATCATCCAGGTGGGGGCTGCACACTGGTGGGGGTGGAGGGGAGTCCCCATTATGTGTCAAGAGCTTTGAATGCAGTACCCAGAAAAGTATTATTAGCACAGTGCCCATGAAATGGAGCTGATGTATTCACACCAAAGTGCTTCTGTGTCTTAAAATGAGGCATATTTTCAAGGGCTCGGCAGAGGAACAGTCTGCCGGTGTTCAGATTTGACAGAGTAAAGCTTGGTACTTGGAAAATATTTCAAAGCTGTGGCTGTTATATGTAACATTGTATACTTTGCATATAATATGTCAATCTGTAAGATCAGTGTAAAAGAAGAAGAGATAGGCCCCCTTGAGGTAATTATTTTGTGTTCAGCTTTCTTTGACAAATCTTTCTCTTCACAGAGCCAGCGAGTCCAGGCTGTGAAGACACAGGGAAGAGCCCCCCTCATTCTCCACCGAAGAAGGGAGGTTTCAATTTATCAAGTTTGCTGAAGACTCCAAAGAAATTCTCACCTCTCCCTCTGGGGAACGTCGAAGAAGCAGCGAGTGAGGAAAATAAGGAGGAACCCAAACAGCGTGAAATCCCAAGTCCTCCTCTGTCAGGTAATTTATTCAGTCTAGTTTAGTTTAGTTTCTGGTATCACTCTTAACCTTATGAAAACATATCTGGATTAATCTAGTGCTCCCAGTGGCTTTATTACATTTTTAATGAAACTCTGGCCTCTTGCTTTGCCTGAATCAGCCTCCACTGTGTTTGCAGTTTGTCACTGCAATACGACATAGACAGACGTCTGCTGGAGCCCATTGTGAGCACTGTTTCACTCAGGGGATTGTGGGAGCTCAGGGGGCAAACACACAGCACTGAAATCTATTGGCTTTAATTAGGAGCGACTCTGTGCCCTTGCAGTCATGCAGATCAGCAACCTGATTGACAAGGGGGTGTTGGAGGAAGCTCATCTGAACCTGCTGTCCTTGCGGATGGAGCTGGAAGGGGAGAGGGCTGGAGGACAGGTGGGGGAGGTGGATCTGTACAGGAAGGAGAAGGACCTGCACCTGCTGTACTCCTCGCTGAGGGACAAGGTGAAGAGCATCGTCAGAGACTCCTCCAGCCTCCTCTCCAGCAGCCAGGACCTGCTGCCCGCCGCGCTCCGAATCATCGAGGAGGAGGAGGGCCGCGGGGAGGGCGAGCCCGGCTCCTCCGAGCCCGAGACGTGGAGGGCGCTGTGGAGGTGCAGCGTGCGGGAGGGGGTGCAGGCCAGCATCGACAGCGTGCATCTGGACTCCAAGGTGCAGAACCCCTCCTGGCTCAGTGTGCATCTGGGGCTCCTGGGAGCCGCTGTCCTGAACAACCTGCAAAATGTGAAGAACAACTTACAGCCCTGCTACCCCCCGGAGGGCTTCTGCGTCTTCGAAACCTACGTGGACTGTTACCATCAGGCTGTTTCTGAGCACCTCCAAAAAATCAAGCAGCAAGTACTCGAGGTAAAAGAATGCTATGCCTTGCTACACTGGATCAGCAAGGACTACCCTGGGTAAGCCTCTCCTCTCATGCCTTTGTACTTGTTCCTATTTTACATGCACTTACAGATACAATACAGATAACCGATCATATGGACATGTAAAGAGCATCTGTAAGACCTGGAGGACGCTGGTGACGTCCTGCTATTGCCCAGGTGTATATAGTGCTGGCCCGTCTAAGAGAACATGTTCCTTTTTTTGGTTCCATTTGTGTGTGTTGCCAAATGTTACAACTCCACACTTCTCGCACACGGTCTGGTCCCAGCTTGAAGGGCCCGAGGTGAGCTCTGTCCTCGTGCCTTTTTCGTGGCCTGTGGGACATGCGTCGCGGCGCCGCGGACCAGACGCCTGAACCCTCTCCTTTGTCATTCAGTGAGAAGGTGATGGGCAGCCCCAGCCTCCAGCCCGAGATGAGCACAGAGAACATTGTCCTCCCGCTGGAGGAAAATGAGTTGGATCGGATCCGGAGCAACTATTGCAACGCTTTACAGGTAAAGTCACAAGGGGGCAAAGCCTGCAGGAAAGCAATCATATGACGCTTAATTTCCAGGATAATGTCTACCTAATATCCCACAGCAAAGGCTATATTTATCATCTTGGGTGTATGTTACTCCATGTACCACTGATAGCAGTAAGGTAAAGATACTGGTTTAGCCTTTATTTGCTTTGTTTCTTGATAAACACTTTTTATCACTGTAGTGATTCAAACCCGCACAATAAAATTACGGTGTTCACGTTTACATTGTTTTTTAAAAGAGTGAACAAAAGTGACTCTTTACTGCAATTTTTCCAGTGTGCGTTTCATGATAAGGAATTTGTCTATTTTCCTTGCTTATGTATGAATCCGTGTTTTTTTAGGTCGAGTTAAGAAATACCTTGAAAAATCTGATGAAATTAGAGGCTGAGGAGATGTGGCAAAATGGAAAAGAGCCTGAGATTTTAAACGATTTCTATCACTCGGAAATGCAGATAGATATCTGTAAGGTAATGTACACACCTGACTCAACACGCTGATGTTCGCTTTTCATGGACTCCTGTATGTCCTTAAACATCACTGTGAAGGCAACACAACTGACCACCATCTTGATACAGGAATCGGAAATAATTAAGTTAAGATACAATATTTATATTGGGAGAACAATTCAAACCCCACTCCAATATCTCCTACTTTTACCTGATGCATCTGGAGACTGTAAACTTCTTTGAAAAAATTCTGCTCAGTTGTTAGACAATTGCACAGTTGGTCCGATTGGGCAGATGAAGCGCAGAGAATCTAGATATCTGGCAAAGCTTTTGCCTGTAAAGTGTATCTTCTACAATTAAATACAATAAGATGCTGGTGATCTGTGATGTGGAACTTGATTTCCAAGCTTGCTTTTTCTGCTGGGCCACTCTTCAGGGAAACCATCGGCCGATTGTGATGTCAACTCACGCCACTAGAGGGAGCCGGAACACTTTGCTGGTTAAAATGAACATTAACCGCAGGACAGTCTGAAACGGTCTGCATCAGAACTGTCGCTGTTGTCTTCCCTAGGTAATCAATGCATGTGTGACGAATTCAGGAGAAATAAGTAAAGAAGTAGAGAAGACTGTTGTCAACACCTGTGCAGAAGAACTGACGCATTTTTCCCAACAGTAAGTGAATACATCAGCAATTTTCGGTTGCAAGTAAATCTCAAGGGATTTTAATGAGTTTGATTCTACCAATTTCATGTTTAGCATTTTCCACGTGCAGTATAAGTGCACATACTCGCCGCCCCCACTAAAGTCTATTAAGCAGGTGATGAAAAGCACAGAAGATCAACCTCGATAAAATAAAGGTTGTTTAGGTTTTGATCGCATGTTGTACAAAATATTAACTTCAGTAATGCTGCCCTGTGCGGTATTTATGTTGAGGAGGCAGTTGTGCTTTGTGCGTCAGCTTGTTTTCAGCTCCTCACCTCAGTTGGGTGAGGAGGCTGAGGAAATCTTTCCTCGGCACTGTGGGGGGGGCGTTTTCAGCGCTTTTCTTTGTCTGAAAGATCGGATGGCAACACATCTAAAGCTCTGCGAAGGAAATTAGGCGTAATAACCACAGAAGGGTAAATCTAAATCATTTAAAAAGAAATCAGCATAGAACTCGTAAAAACAATCTTGGCACGTTAAAAATGGTGTGTGTTTGGAGCGGGCTATTTCATCTTGAAGGCAAACACACCTGTGGAAGGATATTGTTCATTAAACAACCTTTTATAGAACTGCTATTAAATCCCTCTGCAAAACTGGACATGAGATGTAAATCTGTCCCCTCCATTTATACAGCTCTAGAGAAGCCCCTGTGAAGCACCCCCTCTCTCTCTGTGGGACAGACTGTGAGAGTCTGCTCTGTAGCTGTGCTCAGCGCGCCCCCTCATGCTGTGTGTCTGTGGTCTTGTGTTCTGGCAGATTTCAATCTGCATTCAAGCAGTGGAGACAGTCTCTGGCGAACCCTTCCCAGTATTTGATTATGTACATCAACAGCTTCACGGACATAAAGTAAGTGCCGTTAAAGTCCTGAGTTTTCTTGTAGGAGCAACAATGTGAATTTGCTGTAAAAGGGGAATATTTCTGCTTTTCCGTGTATTATTACAAAGTCATGGACAATGTATAGATTGTTATGAAATTATAAAGATATTCTACTAAATGCACCTGTAAGTTGTGTTGATTAACCAGTAGGTGGCAGTATTTCCACCACACTAAAATCTCCAACAAATTCCCCCAGTTTTAATACAGTTGTAATTGATCACATTTCTTCATTATTTGTGTGCTCAAATTATAGAGGTTCCACGAGCACCTCAGAGTCAACAAAACTTGATTTATCAGCACAGAGAAAACTAGGCTGACCAGAAACAGTGCTACAGAGAACATTAATACCAGCTGTGTGAGATAACAGACTGTATTATCTAGGCTTCACCAGAATCGGTCATGATTCTAGAATCAAGAAGAAGGATTCACAAAGGCACCAGGTCCACATTCTGACATGTGAAGTTGTTTTTCCTTTCAACTCAGAGGAACTCTTACCTCAGGCCCACATACTGTAGGATCACAAGTCAAAGTTAAAGCCACCTGGTACTAAAGCTGTCTAAGTACTGTAACTTTCTACATTGCAGACACAGACCAGTGCTAAACTGGGACCCTACCAAGCAGGAACACCTGCAGAGAATGCTTTATTTCCAATGCAGGACCAGCTCAGGAATTGCTGAGTGGCAGAAAAAGGCTGTCACCACAGCAAACTACCAGGTTGATACATACTGTAGCAACCTCATATAAAACCACTTCCTATGTACCTACAGACAGAGCAAATATCAAATTAAAAGAAGCAAAGCTCCCGTAAATATGGCAGGGACAAAACTGTGTCTCAAGTCCTGGGATGAATCCCAAAAGACCACTACACAGTACATGTGACTGGGAAAAGCAAGCGATCTACATAGACAGAGAAAGGATAAGCCCAGGTACTCCAGACATCAGAGGGACAGGCCTTTCATACCAGGAGCTAAGAAAGTTGCTGCTGCTACACAGAGGAAAGACCCACAGATTCTTGCTCTCAGTGTAACAGAAGTGTAATCCTTCTTCCTAGAAATGAATAAACACATGCTAGGAGAAATACTAGAGAGTGAAATTGCCTTGCAACACTAAAAAGCAAAGGAAATGCTTTAGATTCTGGTGTTTCCACCCACAATCCCTGTCTGGAGCAATATGTGTGTCTGCAGTAATGTGAGTATGCAGCAGTGTGTGTGTCTGCAGCAGTGTGAGTCTGCAGCAATGTGTGCGTCTGGAGCGGTCTGTGCGTCTGCAGCAGGGTGTGTGTGCGTGGGGAGCAGTGTGTGCTTTTCTGCCGCAGTGTGTGGAGCAGTGTGTGTCTGGAGCAGTGTTTCGACTCCAACAGGATTTTACAACATGTTATCATAAACCTTCACATGAGGAATCAGATGAAAGCAATGTGCACTTCCAGCTGGCGCAGCTGTCTGAGAAGAAGGCTGTGTCAATGCAGCGATTTTCTCCAGCAGACCCTAGATCAGCTCCTCGCCAGGCTCCACTTAAATGTCCCACTTAACATGCTGAGATCTTCCTCTACCCACAAGCACAACAGATTCAGCACGCACTTAGCCATCCTGGAAAGTTCCTGAAATGAATGTGCACTGTTTACAATGTAAGTCTGGCGGGGGGATGGGCATTCCCACGGCCTGCAGGCCCTTTCCATAAAAAGCATTAGCTTCAGCTTCAGCTAGCATCCGAGAAAGCACGTGGTTTCCAGGAAGAAATCTGTAGATGTCATGGCAATCCCCAGATCCCCCATAGAAGACAAGGATACACCCCAGGCAATGTTCAGGTGCAGCAGAAAATAGCAGTATCTGCTAGCAGTCTTTTCTAGAGATGCATCGCAATTCAAAAGTGGGACTCACAATTTGATTTTGAGTTTATAATTTTTAGATTTTTACTTATAGTTTAAAATAAAATATGGATAAGAAATCAAGCAGGCCAGACACTTTATTGACCAAATACAATTCCTTGTATTAGGAATTTTTATTTTCACATACAGTACTCCAGCTTGCTCTCTATGAGACACACAGACAGGGAGAGAAGCTGGGGGTCAGAGCGCAGGGTCAGCCATTGTACAGCGCCCCTGGAGCAGTTGGGGTGAAGGGCCTTGCTCAGGGGCCAAACAGAGTAGGATTCCTCTGCCAGCTGCGGGATTTGAACCAGCAACCTCCCAGCCACAGGCGCAGGTCCTGAGCCACAGAGCCACCACATCGCCCCTCTGACACAGATCAAGAAAGATTAACAAAGTGAGCAGGACATGTGTCCAATCTAACCCGTTTGGTAATAAGTCGTTTATTGATCCAAGGATGCCATCTAGCCGATGCTTGGAGAAAAAAAAAACAGGGTATCTGCTTCAACAACATGGCTGTGTACCTTGTGCCACACTCCCACAACCCTTTGTGTAAAGAACTGCCTCCCGTTCTTAGTTTTAAGTTCACTTTCCTGTACTTTCCGCTTGTAACCCCTTGCTTTCCCTGTTGGTTTTGAAGAAACCTATTGGGCTGAGTTTGTCAATGTCAGGTTCTCCCACAGTGTTTTCTGTTCAAAACGTAAACAATTCAGCTCTTGTAGTCTATCACTGTCAGATAGTTTAAGCCCAGGAATGCATCTGGTTGCTGTTCTCTGGACTGATTACAGAGCAGCATAACGCAAGGGTAGGGAACAGGTTACTCCCTCCAATCCCTTTATTGAATAGATGCTGATAAGGACCTACTGTACTAGTAAGTGGACAAGTGCTGGAGATCATCCCCTGACGCAGGGTAAAACACTGACACTGTGGTCTTTGTCAGTCTTAATCAAACTACTGTCAAAACACGGCACTGCCATCTTGCTCTCCTTGTACATCTTGTAGGTTTCTAAAATAAGTTTCCTTTTTCATAAGATGAGCAAAATCTGACAAAATTCTCTTTTCCCAAGAGAGCACATGGAGACATACAAGGAAACCAGCCCAGCCGCAGTAGAGGAATTAGTAAAGGACACAGATACCACGATAGAAAGCTTTGGCCAGTCTCTATTGGAACATCTCAAGGGGGAGACAGAGGTGAGAGGAATTTGGGATTCTCTCACTGCTCAGAAGTCTCCATTATCCTGAGGACTTCAGGGTGTTCTTACTGTGCCACATGTAAACTGCCCCTTCGCAGACTTGACTGGCTTCAATCTCTCACACGAAAGTACAAGAGAATGTGCCAACACTACATGAAGTTTAATGAGATGTGTTATGTAGCTAATAACATACAGTTGATTTAAGGAGATTCTTCAGATTAGACTTTACATCACATTCTTTAATAGGGGAGTAAAAGTCTGCTCTGGAATGGTTTCTACAGAACCTTTCCATCTCTCTTTGCACTGCACTCCACACCCTTAGTGGTTATCACAGAATTGTTCATCCTTCAGTGTATTATGCTATTTAGATTTTGAAGGACCGTCTGTAAAGAGTCTGTCAGAACAAAGTGCTGTCCCTTTCCAGCTCCACTTTAGGAAACTAATGACAAAGAAGTGGCTGTCCAGCAGCGACGATTTCCAGAAGATAGTGGAAAGAATTGAGGATCTCTCTCAGCACTGTCGCAGGATGAAAAAGCCGTACCTTCAGGTGAGGGGGACAGGGCTTGTATTTCCGGGATTAGAGCAATGTAATGCAGAACCTTTTCCAAGTAGACAGGATGCTTGTGCGCTTGGCTGACATTTAAAAGGATGGATCATTTGGAGAGGTACAACTCATCGTGTTGCACAGACAAAAACAACAATATGGAAGGCCATGCATTTCTGTGTCATGTGTTGATATGCATGCCAGTTAGAATTGCACATAGCTGGTCCTACTTTGCACCAATACAGTGCTCTGTGTGTGTTGTCATTGTGTAGGGGAATGTGCTCCACATGGTCCTAATTGTACAGACTTCATTGCTTCAGGGTGCAGTTCTTGCAATACAGTTTTTGAGCAGTTCACGAGCAGATAATAAAAATCAAAGCAGTATAAATCGTCTTTCAAAATCATTAAAATGTAGCAGCTCAGTTACCTTTTTCAAGTGTAAATTTTTTTTCAAAACATTTTTTGCATCATGAGATAACAAGCATGCGACGTGTTCTGTACACACGCACACATGCATGCAAAATGAAATGTGTCCTTTAAATAGTTACTCAGGCCGTGCATGACAGAGCTGCTTCCTCATTTCAGCCCTGACGGTGACCACAAAAAATGGACCAGATGTAATTCTGTGCTGTCTTGTGGTTTGCACTTTGACTCAGAATAACCCGACAAAGTCTCATTTCCACAAGTGGAGTGGAAACATGCAGTCCAAAATGACATTCTCCCTCTCACTGTATCTATAAACTAAGATGTTCAACTATGATACTTTAATTCAGGTTTAATTCAAGACACCTAAGCTGTTTTCAACATCAACCATATTTCTATGTTCTTGAAGAGGCCAGATTCAGTTTAAAAAACAAAGTATGCATCAGAGTATCAGAGCTCTGAGCACATTCCAACTCTAAACATTAATCATGCCACACATTGGTGCTTGTTAAGTCTCAGCTTCAAAACCTTCGTATTTTTCACTCCTCTGTACAGTTACATGCATTCCAGACTCTACAGTTCTCTTATGTAGGGGCTCGGTGTTACAGCTCTTCTAAAACTATAGTGAGCATACCATACAAATACTCAACATCTGGAGGAAATGAGTACAAAACAGTCTCCTCCCAAACCACAACAACTTTAGGCCCTGACCACAGCCTTATGTTTACAGAAAAGAAAGTCCATATGGTTTGGTTTGCATTAGATGTATTGTAGCATCATGCAACTCATCTATACAGAAAGTCTGTGATAAAAGTCTGTAGATAATCCCTACATACCTAGTTCCATCATCAAACATCCTATTCTTTTTACATAAAACGTAAGGAGGCTTAAAACGTTCTAAAAGCCTTGATTAAACTGCTTTTCACAAACTGAAAACATGCTGGGATGTTGAATGGCCCAGAATTTTATTTAGAGGAACTAAGACAGCAAACAGCTGGTGTTTCCATGGAAACTAATCAACAGAATTCCGTGGGCATGACAGGGGATGACAGGGGATGACAGGAAGTGTCTTTGCAATCTGCTCAGGTGATTGACAGGACGCATGAGAGGCCACCCTGCAGTCTCACGGGACCAACTCTGCATCCTCCAGTCCCAACATCCTAACCCTGTCAGGACACAGGAGGCTAGGAAGGTCATTTCCAGACATGTCTGCTCCTGAATGTAATTTGCTCATCATTTTCTCAGGAGTGTTGCACATTTATGGAGGTGCAAACCCAGCTGAGCCCAACATACAGAAAAGAGAAATCAAGGGATTTGCTTTCTTTTACTTACATGTAGTTTTCAAAAACGAGCAGCAGTTTATTTAGATTTGGAAAACAAATGCACAGCTATTTTTACACCGGAGTTTCTGCACTCTTGGGGTGCAGAAACACCAGGGATCTATAAGCCTGTTCCTGAAGGCTCACACTCTTACAGATTTTTTCAGACAGCCTTAAAATACTAATGAGCAAAGATATGCAATTCCTCCTAATTAAGCATTGAATCGAATCGACTGGAATGAAAACCAGGAGAGACAGCAGCCCTTCAGGACCGGAGCTGTAGACACCAGCCTTAGTTGGCTTCACTGAGGAAGCCAATTTGTTTGTTCTGAAGCAGGGGTGTTGAATCCTGGTCTTGGAGGGCATGTGTCCCTGCTGGTTTTCTGTCTCTTTATGTAACGAACAGTTCTTTCCAGACCCTATGCGGACGACACAACCCGGTGTAGAGTGAGAAACACGGGGGGGAAAAGCCATGCAGGAAAAGGGGATCAAAACAGGGGGCGTGTCCTTGGTGCGCTGGTGTTTGGGGGAGGTGTTGCCTAGGCAAACAATCCTAGAAGAAGTCCAAAGGAGAATCCAAAACAGAGCCAAAGTCCATGGCCAGGTGATCCATCAAAAACAAGAGATTAAAAACTGGTCTCTAAACATTAATCTCTTTGATTGTTTAATTAAAACTGGTTGGAACCAGCGGGAGAAAACGGGGGCAGAAAATAAAACCTTAACGGGACCAGGCGTAGGTCCCGGACTCGCATGATACGGAGATCAGATGCAGAGCCCGGATTAACGTCAGCGCCTGGCTTTTAAGGGGGGCTGGAAGGAGGCGAGAACAAGGAACAAGTGCGGGGAATGAGGCAAACAAGCAAGAGCCGGAGCGCCCTTAAGGGGGAGGTACTACAATCGTGACACTTCACAGCAGCAGCACCTGAAGAGCTGGGAGAATCTGTTACATTGGTCCAGTTAAGGCAGCAACCAGCTGGTTTAGTTCATTAAGAACAAAAACACGCAGACACAGTCTCTCCCCCCAGGACCAGGACTGGACACCCCTGTAGAGTAAAGCAGTATTTCCCAATCGTGGTGCTAGGGTACTCCTGCATCTTCTGGGATTCCTTACAGTTCAGCTTTTAATCCGTTCATCTCATTGAACCCATTGATTTTTAATCAGTTTCTGAATGCAGGATTTAGTCTCACAAAAACGATTTCTAGGCAGGTCATTGTACAAAAATACAGCAAGCAAGAAATCTGTTTCGACTTGGTTTAACACGGTTGTGCCGATGTAGGTTGCTGAACAATGTTATCAATTACTGAGGTGCAGATACAGGTGGGAATGACACTATCACACACTTTCATGATCAGTGTTCTTTCGTGCAGCATGGGCCTGCTGGTTACAGTAGGTTCAAGCAGGTCTTTGAAACCATAAACCCAAGTGAAGGAGGATCTGTATCCCAGCATCTGTGCCAGGATTTTTGTGCTAATGACCTCATTCATCCCTGATGAACTGAAGAAAGGAGGTGGTTATAAAAAGCTCAGTCAGAATTAAAAATCAGAAGATACAGGGGCACTCCACAATGAGGCCTGGGGACTGTTTTGGTTGTACAGTAGCCATGAAAGATAGGATGCTGATCTTGCTGACATTTCTAAAACATGCAATATACCCTCCCTCATAGAGTATTGTGAAAAGCCTTCTTATCACTGAACTCTAGTCTGAACTCTCTTCTAGGAAATCCAAAGTTTAAGCAAATTACTCAGATTTGTTGTTTCAGTTACAAAGCGAATAACATCTGTTGTTGTTCTGACTTCATCCTTTGCCCTTTCTGAAATTCTTCACGTGCAGTCTATGTTTTTATAGAGGTATTTCCCCTTCTACCAGTTCTAATTTACAACACAGTTTGGGATTGTTTGCAAGGATACCTTTGAAGCCCGATGCTTTATTCCCTTAAATAAAGGCTACATTTGCCAGTGCAGACAGAGCGAAAATATCTGATCTCTTAACAGTTTTTTAATTCTGATTGTCTCCCCAAACCAGAGTTTTGTGAATGATGTCCACTACCACATGACAAAAGCGTACGTAGCGCAGGTCTTGAAGAATGAGTATTCCTGCAAGAACAGAAGGCACGAAAAGGCAGCAGAGAAGATGAGGGGGGAGTGGGAGGAGCTGCAGAAGGAGTTTGATAACTTGGTGAGTTGATAACTGCGAATTTCCTGCAGATTTCACAAAGGCTGCTTTGGGAAACTCCTTATTTGCTCAGCTCCCTGTTGCATTACTACAGAGCCCGAGTCCTTAAGGGTCCGTGAAGAAAGATTAAAATGCCTGATCATTACTTCACTCCCCTGGAAACTAGAAAGCCCTTTGTCTCTCCACAGAGCTGCTCTGAAACATCGGCAGTGACACGAACCCAGGACTCACCCTCTTGTGCAATGATGCCACTGCTGTTACATTGTTTGGGCCTTTGTGTAGCAATGCAGGGAACGTTTTGCTTAACCACTCATCAGAAATTAACTTCTCCTTCAGCACAGGATAACTTTCCTACCACACTGTTCACAGACTGTAGTGTCTCACATGACTCGCAGGGCACTCTGGGCTAAAGTTTCCGCACATGAACTGAGTTCATCTTTATTGCACATCACAAGATCATAAACATATAACATATCCAACAATAATGCAATGCACAATACACAATACAATTTCAAACACATCACTGAATCAAACGTCTTCCAGCACCATAAGGTTAAAAAACAGGCTAGCTTATAAAAAGTGTAAAAACAATCATACTAATAATTAGTTCCCTACCTGCAAACAATTTTTCATTATTCAACAATGTAATGCTTTTCGGTATAAAAGAAGTAAAGGCTATCTTAGGCTTTCTACAGGGGATCTGGTACCTCCTAGAGAGTAGGAGAGTCTATTCTGGATTGTGATTACAATGCACAAAAACAATTTTCACAATCTGTAATTGAGGAACTAGAAGCCCTGTAGAATCCCTTGCATTGCATAAGTTACTGGAAATAATGTATTACAGCCTTAAAATATAACAAGGATGGAGAATACTGAAATAAATGCTGGTATAGGTCAGATTTGGTTTTATTTTTTGTAACTCCTACAGTATGTACTAGTGCTGAATGCTGATTTGTTTAGTTTATTTTTGTTCTTTTAAAGTGGAGAAGTTATGCGCCTTTCCTTTTATTAGCATTTCTCATTGTTAAAATAATATGTAGCTTCCTGTACATATTCCTTCACTGGCAGTCACTAGCTACTAGCAATCAAGAGCAGAATGTGCCAAATGGCATCACATTTGTATCGTTTCCTAACTTCTTTTATACGTAAGACTTCCCAAATAATTTTTATGTTTAATAGCAAAAATACAGAGAAACTACCGGAGGTTTGCAGCCTTCTGCTATACCAATGCACAGAAGGATAAATTTCACTATGATTTCCTCTTTTCACCATTTTTTATTTTATTGTTTTCTGAAGTACTCTGTTAAATAATAAAATTCATCCAGGCAGACAGACTTTCATTGGTGCTCTAAGCTGAAAGGACTGTAGTTGCGGATAAAATCCCAAATCTAAACTTGCTTTTCAAATCTGAATATATTGTAGCAATCAGGGTCACAATGCTTGTCTCCCCAGGGAACGACTTGTGATTGGCTCCGCCCACTGGGCCAACACCTTTGTGACATCATTGGGATGAAGAATAAGAGTGACATCAAGGACCGCTTGGAACTGCTGGTCACAGACTATCCTGACGTCAGGTATGCTGGCCAGCCCAACCCACTGAGTCAAAGAGCTGAGAGCTTTGTAGACATGATCCAAAACAGAAGGAAACGCACAGCTGGCAGTTCCACATCAGAAGGATAGATCAGAAATAATCAGCAATTCTGAATTTATATAAAAGGGTCTTGCACAAGGCTTTGTGTGGGTCATGTAGGATAGTTCAAGGTGTAGGACACTACAGCCAGCAAGTTTAACGAACAGACATAGGCTAAAATCCACTGTGAAAATGCCTGTCAAAGATACTCAATTCACTAGGAAATAAACTAGTTTGGGCTTACAACTATTGTTTTAAGCAACAATATAAATGGAAGCCTACAACAAGAAGAGACAGGTTCTGCTTTCTTGCTTAGTACAGCCTGTTTCCAATAGTTTCTATTTTAGCTTGGATGTCCTCACATGTCCTCACAGTTGTACACTTGGACACTAGATCCCAGATTCTCTAGATTTGTTTTAAAATGAGCTTCTGGGTTTTTAAGTGCTTTCTACACCCCAAGCATTTTGAAATCAGAAATCCTTGGCTGAAAGCGAACCGTGCAAATGTGCTTACCAGTTAAAGTTTCGTGTATTTTTTATATATCCATTTTAAATTTCCATTCTAATTTGAAAAACAGAAGAAGGGTTTGTAATCCAAAAGAGCACAGGGGCACAAGAATCTGTTATGCAGAAATAAGAAATGCTGTGTCTCCCCAGCCTCTTTCAGCAGGCAGAAGCTGCCTGATCAGAAACAGCCCAGCTCTGTTCACTGTTCACTTAGCTCAGGTGCTCACAGTGTAGAGTGATTCATATCTGCAAACACAGGGTTATTTTTTTTTCCCCAGCAGCCTTAAGCTTTCACGAGAAGAGCTGTATGGAAACTCAATGCATTTCGAATTGTGTGGTACAAGTAGACACAAAAACAAAACCATCATTATTCCCCAGAATAGGAGGGCAGACATTCCAGTGGAAAATGGAAGTTAACACCACGGCCTCATTTTTTCTGACGGCTCTTCTGCAGTAGTGTGTGTGCTGCTCAGAAATTGCAAACTCTGCAGCAGAGCTCAGGGCCCTCTGCCAGTAGGGGCTTCGCTGTTCCTGCAACGCATCAGGACAGGAGGAAGGTGGGGGAGCGGGATGACATCATTCTGGATTTTCCCGGAGAAATTCCTTGCAAACTGTGGAACGATTTCCGTTTCTTACCCACGTTGAAGAATATGGATAGATGAAGTAATTGTTGGAATGCTAGTTAAAATTCTCCAGTGAGGCTTTTGTAGCCAAGGAGGTGGAGGTCAAAGAAAACCTGCAAGGGGGCAGAACGCAGCACTTTAAAGTGTAGATCTGTGCAGCACATCACAACTCCAAAACCAAAGGGTTCATAAAGACTAGCTACAATTTCTCCTTCACAGCTGGGAGCTGAGCTTGTGTTAGTAATCTAAGAATATCAGTATTGTTTCTTATACAGTCTTATCCTATCCCTGGTCAGTTATGTACAGAGGCAAATCAGATTGACCACACAAAACAAACCTCAATACTTAAACCTGTGAATTCAACTCCCATCACATACAGTAGAGACTAGTTTTGGCTTAACAGCTCTCAAAAATTTAATTTTACACAGACCTGGAGGGAAGTCTACTGCATAAATACAGACACGTATGTGTCATGTGTATTTACAAACTCAGCCTAAATCATACATTAAACACAGGTGCCCATGAAGAAGTACTGGCTTGTTAAATCTGAGGACTGATCTGATAGGAAATCTTGCTTTTTGTGAAATGAAGAAGATGAGCACTGAATTGTGGAATAAAACTGAGACAATAGCGCTACTCCCAAGTGATAATTACATACAGGTAATTACAAAACTCTAAATTATTTATAATGTCAATAGGAAACAACTAATAACACAATTTCCTAGGCAAGGCAGTCAAAACATCCTGATGATTGCAGTATTTACTGAGTAAATGACAGAACTGTACTATCAGGTCATCGCAGAACAGTTGTCGTGTTCCCAGGAGGTCTTTTATCACTGCAAGATACAGAGCCCGTCAGTTTCAAAACGGGATTCCCGATGGGGAAATCGGCAGCGTGGCCTGGTAAAGCTGAAAAGAAATACATTTAGGGGAATCTTTGTGGATCAGCCTGTAGCCGATTACGTTTCCTGTCCCTGATTGGGTTGTTTTTCTTTAAATGGAATCAAAAATAAAAGTGTCCGATACGCTCGTCTGGAAATTTAGGTCATTTTCGGAAAACGTAAAAAGAGTACCCAACTAGATAGAGGCGGCCCAGAGCACGTGGTCAGCAGGTGCAACTACAGTGTGTAAAATGGACAGTGCTGTGTGTGAAGCTGAAACGTACAAACACACAATATTGTGCACGCGGTCTGTCCGTGGCGCATTTTCCCTTGTACAGATGCATCGCTGATCCAGCAACTACGCTAGCGTCTACCTCAGAACATCTGCACGTCCTGTGATTCTATTCTGTCTTGGGGTTTTTTTAGCAGGAAACACGTCTCTGCCATTCTTTTCTTCCGGGGGCTGACGGGAGGGCAGGAGAGGCAGGCCATTCTGCAGCGCCTGGAAGAGCTGAAGCACACTACGGGCA